TAAGCTTGTGCAATATTACAACATTTATTTCCGTCCAGAGTTGCATTAGTTTTTCACCAAGATCTTGTAGTGATGATGAGAGAGTCGGGCCACTGTGTAAAATCTTCTCCAGCACATGATGGACTTGATGGACGTATGTCTTTATTCAACCCCAAATACTATGTAACTATGTAACATCCCAAAGATTCTCAGTGGGTTTAAGGTGTGGACTCTGTGGTGGCCAATCCATGTGTGAGAATGATGTCTCATGCTCCCTGAACCACTCTTTCACAATCTGATGAATACTGGCATTGTCATCTTGGAATATGCCAGTGCAAAGAGGGAAGAAAAAGTCCATTGACGGAAGAACCTGATTATTCAGTATATTCAGGTAGGCAACTGACCTCATTTTTGGGCACATAACGTTGGATAACACTAACCTATTATTCAGTGGAAGGTTTTTACCTATTTGCCAAGCTAAATCCAGGGGGTGACTTTTGATTTCAAGCACAGGGATGAAAAGTTGAAACGGGATGTAAAATTTTTCTCGAACAAAATTCTAACAGTGAACGCAGTTTTCGATTGTGAAACTTAATTAATTCCAAAATCAAATGTTAAAAATGTTTTCAATCCCAAAAAATTTCAAATGACATTAAAAGGAGAACTATGGGGTAAGTGGTTTTCCCCATAGTTCTCTTAAGGGTCATGGGCTGACATATACTAGCGTCCTCCTGTGACTCAATGCTTAGTATATTGCGAGCTACAGCTCGCGCTATACCGAGACCGCCGCAGCCGGGATGAATCCCGACATTACTGTCGAGATCCACCCAGCAACAGGAGTGACAGCGGGCTCTGCCAATCTAGAGGCAGAGCCGCTGCACCCTCCCCCTCCGTTTCTCCAGTCAGCGCTGGGGGATCGGAGAGGGGAAGGGGGAAAGCGTTGTAGAACATTCATTCACACTGAACACTGGAACTTTACCCACCAATTTAAAGTCTCCCAGAACAGTTACTTTCATGGCAGGTCTGGCAGACATAGGCAGAGGCATTATGGGGTTAGTAGTTTCACCGCAGCTGGAGGGCCACGGTTGCCTTCCCCTGTTTTGAGGCATGCCAACTGTTATGGTTAGCAGTGTGCTTGTTTCAGCACTCCATTGAACTTTCAAGTAGAGATGAGCCTGGTCTTGGTTTGAACCCACTTCATCAAAGCCTACAAAAAACTGTAACCTCCCTTTCCTCAACCCCACAGTCCAATCAGTTGGAAGAGGTGCATTTCCCACCACACAACTTTACGTCACAAAGGGGTGAAACTGCCACCACTGATTGGGTCAGGAAGAGGGTGTGGTGCTTACAGTTTTGAGTAGGTCCCCACACTGAACTGATTTCCTGCATTGGGGTTCAGGTACCTTTCTCCAGCGCTGCCGTGTATGCCCACAGTTAGAATGGCCGCTGGTGTTCTGTCCCCACCTTCTCCGTCACACTCAGCACTCACGGCGGAAGTAAATGTGGATGCAGAACGCTAAGTTAGCAGTGCTGAGAGCTGGCTTGAAGCACAGCGTTCAGCGGCTGTTTGCTAACTCAGCACTGAACACGCCTCTGGTGTCATTGCTGATCACACGTGCAACACCATGGTAACTGCAATCCAAATAGAGGCTAAGATGGTACCTTATTTGGCTGTAAGGGATAGGAGGGTGTAGTTCTGCCTTAACCTTGCAGCAAAGCACTAGGGATATGCAACTGTATGTGTTCCTAGCTCTCCAGCCCGATTTCAAATGGGAAAACACCTTTGCGTCCACTGACGTACATAGTACGTCATTGGCAGTGGGCCCATTTAAGCAGAAGACGCCGGGACTCTGTTTACCTTTTTAAAGCCGGCTGTTGGCTTTACAGCAGAAGCAATTCTATTGGCTCAGCTGATACCAGATTGCTTCTACGGGCCAGTAAAGTCCCCCCCCCGCCCCCCGGTCGGGTGCCGACGGGAAGCTTTTCACCGATCTCCCCCCACGCTCTATGGGGCTGGGAGCGACTAGTATTACATCACTTCCAGTCCCTGAACTGCCATTGCACGGCTACTGAAGCCGTGCAATAAGCTATTGAAGTGCGATCTGTAATTCAATAGCATATTTCAAGTGGAAAGGTGACACCAGGGGTCTTTTGGATGCCTAGTGTCACCTTAAAAAGAGTACTTGTCACTACCAAACTGCTATAAATAAAATAAATAGTAACTAAAATAAATGTAGAAATAAAAAAAACTTTTTTTTTTTAAAGTTCCCTGACACCGGAACGCATACCCGCATAAACAGCCGTCAGGTGCACCTACGTACAAAAACAACGATCGCGCTACCCATGTTGGGCATTGCCACGCACACCAGAGTGAGAGCAATATTTCTAGGGCCAATATTTACGTGTATCCCTAAACTGATGACCTGTAGGGGCTTTTAACCTGTGTGTCTATGGACTTTTTGGGATACTGAATTTTGTCAACGTTTCATGAACGCATACAATTTTTAATCTGGGCATGCTGGGTATCTAATCACTCGTTATAAAACGTATCATTTATAATTTTTTTTAAATGGGTATTATATTGTATTTTGTGGCACTAAGTTTAACGTAAGTGCATTTTTCAGAAGATTTTTGGGTTTGAGTTGCGTTATTATCGCGTGCAAGAGTCTTGAAATTATAGTGCAAACTAAAAATTTGCAACTGCCAACATTTTATTCTACATGGTCTCGGCTTTCAGAAAATATATAATGTTTGAGGTTTTGAATTAATTTTCAGGACCAAAATGTGGATTATATCATGAATGCAAAAAACTGAAAAAAATAAAATAAAAAAAGGCCATGGCAGCGAAAGGGTTAAACTACTGCCCAGCATATAGCCAGGCAAATACAGTATAGGATTTTCCCATGCTCCTCAGCGCCATCTAGGGGCTCTAGGCTGGAGAAAGTTTTCTGGAAAAAAACCTGACGGTCATTGTCAAATTAAAGAAGAACGCCTGGCAACATTTTTATTAACCCATGCAGTGAGGCTACCCCAGCACTGCAAGGGTTAAGTGCCTTTTTTCCCCATCTTGGGACTGAAATAACAAAGTTATACTTACCTGATCCTCCGAGCCAGCTTGTTGTTAGACCGGTCGTTCCAGCTTCCCTCGCCCTGAGCTGTAGAGGTCCTGTGAGTCACCATGCTCTATACAGTGTACAGAACATGAGGACGCTGAGGGACAATCCATTACTGGAGCCAGGGGCGTAACTAGAAATCACAGGGCCCCATAGCAAAATTTTGTATGGGGCCCCGTGATTGCTAGTTATGCCACTTGCAGAGCCCACCATAGACTCTCTATGGTGGGCTCTGCAAGATCTCAGTTGCGCTGTACGCCTCTTACCTGTCACCTCCGTGGTCGCCGCCGCCGGGCCCCTGCCTCCTCTTCCGTTCCTGGGCTCCGCCTCCTTCTATCGACGGGCCCCGCCTCCTCTTACATCACTGGCCCCACCTGCTCTTAGATCGCTGGCCAGTGATGTGAGAGGAGGCGGGGTTGCTGTTAGGCGGGCCCCGCCTCCTTTAATGAAAATGCCGGTGTAACCGGCCTATTCTGCCGCATCTGCTGGCTGTCACTGACACAGCTCTGCAGCGGCTGTGAGGGGAAACGTTCTCCTTCACAGCAGCTGCTGAGTTATGTCAGTGACAGCCAGCAACCAAGACGCCATAGCGACCCACACGGCATCAGAGGGATGCCGGCCCCCCCCTGTGCACGGGCCCCATAGCGGCCGGCTGGGTCGCTATGGCGATTGTTACGCCACTGACTGGAGCAGAGTTGGGGACAGGCTTGGGGGAGCGCTGACACAGTCGGCTGGTTTTCTATCAAAGTTTGTGACTATGTTTAAATGTGTGACCGGTCAGATCGCACTCACAAAGTCGGATAGAAGTGACACCATCAGGACCGATCAGCTGTTCCAGGGCAGATCAGTTCTCCTGCATATACGATCTGCGATGCCGATCTGCCCAGGAACAGCTGAAAAAGCATTGGAATGCTTGGCCTATTGGCGATCACTCATTCCACCGCCGAAAAACTGGGCGGGATTACGTTAAAATGTGTGACCACGTGACCGGTCACACATGCCAACCTAGTCACAAACTTTGATAGAACACCGGCTCTGAGGATCAGGCAACTTTGTCATTTCAGTCCCTATACAAACACGAGCAGTTGACCCTTGCGGTGGGGTAGCCCCACTGCAAGGGTTAATAAAGATTTTGCCTGCAGTTGTTCTTTAACAGATGCATACACACAAAGGGGTTAAGGAAGAGGCATCCACTATGGATTTCATCAGGTAACATGTACACACCGCATAACCCAAAATAAACAAAGGACGTAAACATACACATCAGCATACATTTCATACCACAGATGACACCAGTCAGGATTTGTTTGTGTGTGTTATCAGCATTAGATGTGTTTGTTGTTCTGCCTAGGTGTGTATTGTATGACATCCTGCAAGGCTTGCCTGCAATGGTACACAATCCTACCCTGCACTCTGGATAGCTACATCAGAAAGTTGTCATGGCTGCAAAGGAGCAGCTGTTTACCAGCTTCACAGCACCTCCGAGTCCTCATCGCAGATTACAACAAATAAATCCGGCCTAACGCAAGCTGGCCAAAATCTTATTGACTTGGATAGAGCTGCAGCCATTGGAAAGTTCACTGATCTTATCAGCAAGGGCCAGAGATTCCAATCACACCCCTTGATGTACAAAGATTTCACTAGCCTGTCAATTCCTCCAGCCATCAGAGCTGATCTTATCAATAGTCGTGATAAATCGCACGATCCCAGGCGTAGGAGTGTCATACAGATGATGAGATGACAGGTAGGCGACGGTGGTCTTCGTGCAGTTATAACCGTAGGCTATAGAATATTATCAGCCGGGGAACGATCTGTCAGTGGTGCTCGATTGTGTGCTGTCACTGCCATCAGTGACACTATCACGTCTGCTCACAATACGGTTCATTATGACGGATCATTGCCGCTTACCTGCATCCCGATCATACAAATCGTCCCCTGCCCGACCGATCGTCTGTTTTCATAATAACGGGGAAGTTTAGGAAATGACTCCCACACAGGCCCCGCCCTTTGTCGCCTTTGACCGTCAACGAGTGCGAGCCAATGACGGAAGACTGACACACACACACTGACACTACGCGGGTGGGAGGGGCCAGCTAACAGCAGCTGTGCTCCTGATTGGTGTAGGTGTTCCACTGCATCATCTGCGCATCATGTCATGTGATGCCGGAGATAGGTCAGGGGCGTCACTTAGCCAATTGAGAAGCTACATAGCTATATTATATCCGCTGATGAGGAGCCTGATTGCATAGCAAACCAAGTCTGGATTTGGGCATTAGAAGCGACAGGAGCCGCGGTGCTTACAAGTTCCGCCCCCGCTCACCCAAACCCAGCGTGCAGTGACGCTGTGCTTAGTGGGCAGGGTGCGCTCCCCTCAAGGGACTCGTTATGCGCTAGCAGAGCATCGGAGATCTGCTTACTTCAGCCCTTGGTAGCCAGTATGTAAGAATGAGGGCTCCCTCGATTTTTGGGTGTCGCTCCTTGCTGCCTGAGACTAGGGAAATGAGCTAAAGAAGAACATGTGACTGCACACGGACCAGCAATTGAATCCTTTCACTGCCACTGCTTTTTTTTTTTTTAGTCCATTTTTTGCTCACACATTAATATGCACAATTCAGGCATGAAGCAAAACATATTTCCTGACGGCAGAGACCCAGTAGAGAAAAATGGTGGCACTTTCTTTTTATTGAGAACTTTCTGTATGTACAGGGGTGTTCCAGCATAATCGCCGCCTGGGGTAGGGGGCTGGTGGTCACATTACGGAAGGGGGGAGCGGTTGATGGGGTGTTGGTAGTGAACATTAACGGAACTCTGGCTGGCGTCCTGGAGGTGCACAGCCTAGGTCTAGCCTGTGTCCAGCCCAGCTCACTGATTGCCAGGATTTGGGCGGTGCATTGGCCAGGGTGTCCCGCTCAACTCCTGGCAACCAGTTACGTCACTGGTTGCAAAGAGCAGGGTGGGATCAGGGCCGGCCTTAGGCTTTTAGGCGACCTGTGCGAGAAAGCTTTACAGCGCCCCTTAGTCACCACACCCTTTAGTGGCCACACCCCCCAGTAACCAAACCCATTTTTCCCAATATCCTCACCATTTAGCCCGTTGCAAAAAAACTGACAGACGGCACAGTTGCACTGGCTGGTTGCCGTCTTCAGATGGCATTTTTTTTCTTTTGTTTGAGAATGTGCGGCGGCCATGTTGGCCACCTGCGTGTTCTGTGAATGCGTGCCACCATCTTGGAGGCGGGGAGCATGACGTTACATGAGGCCATGCATGGGTGGTGTCAGGTGACGCCACACGCCGATATTGGCCCCACCATCTTGGTGTATACCTAGATATACACCAAGATGGCGGCGCCCAACATGTGCGGTGTTATATGATGTCATGCGCCCTGCCTCCAGAACACGCCAATGGCTGAATCCAAAATAGCATAAAAATGTGTTTTGTTTGATGAAATGTTTTTAGTTTTCGTTCATTCCATGTGAAATTAATGTTTAGTCTTCGCACATGTCTAATAATATGGGGGGGGGGTGTTTTCACTTTTTTAAAATAATTTACATTTTTTATAATTTTTTTAACTCATTTTATTTTTATTTTTTACTGTTGGGGGGCTTCGGGGAAATATTAGGGGTCTAAACAGACCCCTGACATTTCCTTTTAAAATAGAAAAGAAATTGAGGACACCAAATCCTCAATTTCTTTTCCTGCAGCCTCAGCACTCAATGAATGGGAAACACTCAGTACAGACACTTCCCATTCATTCAGACAGTGAAAGTAAAAAATTTACTATCACCCGTTTCAGAATGGGGAGGAGCCTCTGTACTGAGCGCTTCTCCCCATTGAGAAAATCTTGAATGAACAGGAAGTGATGTAAATCACAGCCTGTTCATTCATAACTGGGGACACATAGTACTATGTGTCCCCAGTTATTTACAAACACTGGAGTGATCAGACGATCTCTCCAGTGTTTGTCCTTCTCACACGGAGGACCGGTAAATATCAATGATATTTACGGATCCCCCGCTCGGCCACGCACAGAGCCGCTGTCATCCTGAAACGGACAGGATGACAGCGGCTCCGATCTCCTCCCCGCTCGGCCATCCTGCCCCTTGCTCACAGCGCTTCCCTTCTCAGCCACCTCACCTCCTGCTCACAACACATCCCTTCTAGCCTACCTAACACTTCTATCCTATTGCCGACAGTGCATGCCTCTCCAGACACCTCTCCCTTAACTCACTGCACTGATCATCCTCTGATCACAGCAGATCCATCCCCAATCACCTGCTCCTCACCCCTGCAATCTCCACAAATCTTCCACCAACCACCTGGATCTCTGCTCATAATAGATCCCTCCTCACCCGCCTCAACCCCAACTCACCCTAGATTTATGTAAGGTAGCGCACTTACAGCGAAAATCCTGAGTGCGGAATTGTGCATAAACCGTCCCCTCCGCTCATCCATTGACCTCCTGCTTTCCAGCTCCCTTGTCCACTCCTCCCATACTCGCCTCCAGGACTTCTCTAGAGTCTCTCCCATCCTCTGGAACTCTTTACCCCAACCTGTCCGTCTATCTCCCACCTTGACTGCCTTTTGGCGTTCCCTAAAGACTCATCTCTTCAGGGAAGCCTATCCCACCTCGACCTAACCACTGAACCTTCACATTCTCAAATAATTCATCCCCACACAGCTCCCTCCTTATGTATCATTTCCCCCTCCTCTTTCAGATTGTAAGCCCTCAGGGGCAGGGCCCTCCTTACCATCTTGTATTGTAACTGTAATGTCTTCCTTATATTGTAAAGTGCTGCACAAACTGTTAGCGCTATATAAATCCTGTATAATAATAATAATAAAGTAAAAAGGGACCCTGTACTCACCAACCTTGGCAAACCCAACTTTTATTAAATGGCAGGCTTCACTCTAAGTGGACCTTTCAATAAGTGTGCATTAACAAATTCCTGAGGTCACTTCCTGTCTACATGCGTTCTCTCCAGTAGTAGCTGCATTGCTCAGGTGTGTCCTGTAGTTTCATGGAGGTCGACAGGGGAAACCAGTGAGTGATGCTGAGGACCAGGAGATCCCCGCAACACTCCAAGATGTTTTGGCTCCTGCAGAAAATGTCATCGAGAGGGGGGTTTCAGATTGAGTTTGCAGATCAAATGACTTCATTTGAATTTAAAACCATACCATTTATTAAGGAATTTAAAAACACATAGAAATACATCACTGCTTAGGAGCTGTGTTTTCTGTCATCCTGGACTGCCATGGAAAGGGATCTATTATTCGCATAAGTCATCTATTACAAAGTAATACACAGCTCCTCTAAACATGTATACCTAACATGTCCATTTGGGGTAAACAGTATGCTCCTGACCTATATGGCATATTGCAATGTCATTTATTTCAGTTACAAAGTTTGTGACAACGGGATGCCTTGATTTTATGGACCATTTAAAAGACAGATTTAATGGGCCACAGATTATACATCATATGGTGCACGCATTAAACAGAAGAGCATGAAATTGTCTTGGCACAAGACACCCAGCCTCTGCTCTGGTAGGTAAGTAACCACTGGCATTATTGATCTACTCGTACTTACAGTAGTTCCAACAGACAACCAGTGTAAAAGGGCACTACATTAACCACCAATGTAAGGGGTCACTGCACTACACTGACCACCAATGTAAGGGCTTTCTTCACCATTGACCATATACATACTACTGCACTCACTGCCACTGTACCAACATGCACTTTCATACTGGCTGGCCCTGCACCGATGCACACTTCTGCACTCACTGCCACTGCACCTACATGCATTTCTGCACTCACTGCCACTGCACCAACATGCCCTTCCGTACTGGTTGGCACTGCACCGACGCACACTTCTGCACTTACTGCCACTGCACCTACATGCATTTCTGCACTCACTGCCACTGCACCAACATGCCCTTCCGTACTGGTTGGCACTGCACCGATGCACACGTCTGCACTCACTGCCACTGCACCTACATGCATTTCTGCACTTACTGCCACTGCACCAACATGCACTTCCGTACTGGCTGGCACTGCACCGATGCACACGTCTGCACTCACTGCCACTGCACCAACATGCCCTTCCGTACTGGCTGGCACTGCACCGCTGCACACTTCTGCACTCACGGCCACTGCACCAACATCCATTTTTGCACTCGCTGCCACTGCAGTGGTATATTTAAATGAACATGATGGGTTGACATAAATGGGCATTGTGAAAGAGTATCAATGGAGTGACACTAGTTCTGGAAGCAAGAGGACAATTCAAGCTGCATTCTACTGATTCTATTGTTTGCCAAGTGCCAAATGTATGTCAGATTCTGACAGGAGAAGGTTTCCAGGAACTTATGAGTGTTGACTTTGTTGTGAGTGGGAGCATTTTAAAGCTGCACACTGGGCGGAGGAGGACTCGGCTGCAGTGAATTATGGGTAGGCTGTACTTGTTGTCCTTGTAAGCAGTGGATCATGCTGGGGATGAGTGTGATCAGAGCAGTATGTAAGACTATTTCGTTGCCATCTGTCAGACTGCAGCCTGTCCACACAGCGCCTGTCCTCAGAGCTGCAGAGCAGCAGATTAGGAGCAGCCAAGTGTTTGACAGCAGTGTGCTCCAGTTCCTGGTCTGCCCCCTCTCCAGGAAAGCTCTCAGGTAATACATATGTACTGCTCACAGCACTTTCTTCCTGTATGTGAGCTTGTTATGTTATTTGATTTTGTTTTTCCATAACAAAAATAGAACTATTTAAGCTCAGCATTTCCAATGTACAGACCACATAGATGGGATAGACACCAAACAATGAAAGTGCATCATTCCGTACAGACAATTTAATTGTTTCTAGACTATTACGTAAATGCCAATGATTGTCCTCATTGGCACTCCCCAATCAACACCCTCAGATTCTATATCAGAATATTTAATAAACATTAGACAACTGTACTCAGTCTGTCAAGTCTTCAAATGTCATGTTCCATTACGTAGGGGTGTATTTATAAAAAAGAAAAGTTTGCAGGGCCATTTGTCCTGCAAAACTCCATTACATGCAATCTTGTGAATGAAGGCAAAATGTAATATCAAGAAAATACTCTCTAATGGCCATTAGATGGTGCTGAGGATAGGACATCAATACTTTCCTATGCTTCTCCACTTCATCTAGTGGCCATAACGCCGTATTCTCCTGATATTACATACCACAAAGTCCGCGTTCCAGTTTGTTCGGCCTCTGAAACGCAAGCCGGCAGTGCAATCTCCCTCACCCGGAACCCAGGCACATTGGTGCTTACGTTCGGGTCCAGTGCGATCTGCAAAAATAGTGCTTGCAGTATTTCTGCAGAGCGCACTGGACCGGAATGCAGGCAATCGCACTGCCGGCGGGGGGGCGTGGCTGCGGTGCCATTGACGTTAATGCACGCAGGGAGCCAGCCGGCTTGCGTTCCAGAGGCCGAACGCTCAGGAACGCAGCCTCTGGGGTGTAGAACCTGGAAAGAAAATATACAACTAGTATTCGATTTTGCCTTCATTAGCACAAACATACATGCAGTTTGCCAGGACCAATGGCTGTGCAAATTATTTTTATAAATACACCGCATAAAATGGGAACTCGCCAGGGATGATTCTCAGGTTTAGTGATTTTCTGTTGGCACTAGCTTTATAAACTTAAATGATATGAAAGCAAAAGGTAAAACAAGGTTATGACAAGAAAACAATAAATCATGAAATCCTTCTTTTCTTTTTGTGTTGTAGGTATGATGAATCCACTAATGAGCTAGTTAATGATGACCTGGGCATTGCATATCCTATTCTAGATGGAATACCAAATCTGATTCCTCAAGATGCAAGGATGATTCCCAAAGACCAGAAGCCTAAGGAGAGTGATCAGAAATCTGAATAGCCTAGGTGGAGTCCTGTGTGGATCTGGAAGCCATGTGGCTGTCACTCCCCACGCTGACAGTGCTTGTCCCTCTGCTGTCATTGGCTGGTATTTTGTATTCTGCCTCAGTGGAAGATGACTTTCCCCAAGGGTGTACCAGCACAGCGAGTGTTTGTTTCTACAGCCTCCTGCTTCCAATCACCCTGCCTGTATATGTGTTTTTTCACCTATGGACATGGATGGGACTTAAGCTGTTCAGGCACAATTAATTACTAAGGTGACTGTGCACTTTGTTGCTGGTCATTGTGGAGAATATCTTTATGCCGGTCTGTAGCAAATCAGTCAGCTGTAAATCAGTCAGCTGTATTCCCTCTAATAAAATTGTCCTACAGTTAATGGCTGAATAATTTTTATTCTACTTCTTCAACATTGGAGATAAATCCAAACAGAGTATGTAAAGGAACATGAGCTCAATGGAAGAAGGGTAAACACACCAAGTGTGAAGGTATCATTATAACACGGCCCGTCTTCCTCAGTAACATGTTGAACCACTGTGAGACAAAAACCATATACAGTAGTAGGTATAAAGCACTATATGAAAGTTCCAGAGTCACTGGGAAGTCCCACAATTTAAATTCAGAGAGTCACTTTTTTATAGTGTTGGTGTATTATACTTTTTAAAGGGCTTTTTTTTAAACTCTTATGCTGTCTATTTGTTTTTAGTCCCAGTAAATGATGATCCGTGGTGAACTTGATGGACTTGTGTCTCTTTTCAACCTGACTATGTTGAACTCAAGGGACTTGTGTGTCTCTTTTAAACCTGAGTAACTGTGCTTTAAAGGGGAACTATGAGGCAAGTGAAAATCACTCAGCCTCATAGGTCTAGCCGACCTCTGACAATGAAACTGTCACAGGTCGGCTCAATAGATCAGGAAGTGAGCGAAGACATACCGTCGCTCGCTCTCTTCTCTATCTATCCCTGGAGAGAGCTGTGACTGTCACTCAGGGCTCCCTGCAGGGATTCCCCCCCCCCCGTCCGATCCTCCAGCGCTGACTGGAGGAACGGATGGGGGAAAGAGCCAGCTGTGAATCACACAGCTGGGTGGATCTCGACAGTAATGTCGGGATCCGTCCCGGCTGCCGCGGTCTCAGCTGCAGCTTGCGGTATACTGACCCTAGGGAGAACGATGGGGAAAAGCGCTAACCCTATAGTTCTCCTTTAAAGCACTGCTGCTGAAGTCCAAGTGGAGAACTGGAAGGGACTGGCAACACTTGCTTGGGGTTTCGGTATAGCAGAGGCAGAGAGCACAAAAATGTAGGCTGGATTTCTGGTAGGTTCCACAGTTATTTTTTTGCACTTGCATCAAGGGAATTCAAGGGTAGCTGTCAGGACGGCTGTATTCCTCAATAGGATATGCAGTAAATCTGGTTTGTGGACACAAAATGTCTTTCCACAGCTAGATTGTAACTTGCAAAGGTAGCTGTGACATCATCACCATGCTGCACATAGCCTGTGCAGAGAGCAGGGCTGTTAGAGGAGTTCAGCAGGCCCCACTTACTACAGGCTGCCTGTAGAAAACTACAGGAGGGGGAGAAGACAAGACCAGTCACCCTGCACTAGGAGAGAGAGCAGCAGTAGTGACTGGTCTTTATTACAGGAGGGGGAGGAGACAAGACCAGTCAACATGCACAGGGAGAGAGAGCAGCAGTGACCGTTTTTTATTACCCGAAACTCCACGTTTCCACTGGATTACTGCACAGATCTGGAAGAATATACACAAAGCACACTCGGCATTCAATTTATAAACAATTGGCCGAGCCATTCGTCTTGCGAATCGCTGTGAGTGTTCAGTCCGATCCTCCAGCGCTGACTGGCAGAACGCACGGGGGAGGGATAGGCAGAGCCAGCTGTCAATCAAGCAGCTGGGTGGATCTCGACAGTAATGTCAGGATCCGTCCAAGCTGCGGCGTCTCAGTATACCGTGAGCTGTAGCTCGCGGTATACTGAGCTTAGGGTGACGGGAGGACGCTAGTTTGTGTCCTCCCGTTACCCTTAGGAGTATTATTTGGAAAAACACTGACCCCCATAGTTCTCCTTTAACCATTTTTTCTTCTACCTACATAGTTAGTCAGGTTGAAAAAGACACAAGTCCATACCTGGGATATTAAGAGACACTATGTGGCACTGACATTTTCCTCTGTCATCAGATGCCATTGCAAGTACTGTGGCTAAATGTTTCCTTTCTCCTAAGCTCATTTTTTCTAATTTGTCTAATTTCCATTAATCTCTTTTTTTATATAGCAGCAAGTGTAATTTTATGTCTCTGCTTGGCGGCTCGTTTTTGACTTGCCCCTGTCTTGTTTTCAGTTTGCAGTGCCAGGGTGTTGCGTTTTCGGCCGCCCCTCTGTGCTAGCAATATGATCCTGGATACAATGCGTATGCACGGACAATCTGTCATTTACCTATCGCTCCCTGCTGGAACGTAAGCCGGAACAGCCCTGCGCACCACGCAAAGAGTATACGTGCAGACGAGGGGGCGGAGCTTGCATGCGATATGGCATCCTGCTGCCTAGACAACCATCTGTGCCTTTTGAAACTAACGGCCAGTATTCGTTTACGTGCCGTTTGGGCATCTAATCTGTTAGTTAGTCGTTTTTTTAAACCTCTTATGGTGGGAGTTGGTCTAGTGATGACGCTGCATCTATGGGAGGGGTCTGTTTTAATTCACTGTACGATGTCTATTTAAAGTGACATTAAACCCTCAGATTTTTTAACATAAACCAAGACCTACGGAGCCATATACACCTAGTAAGATTAAAACAAAGAAAAGTCTCAATCGGGGTATGGGCCTGTTCGGCCAAACTGGTTGCTATAGGAGTAATGTACACAATTGAGGGGCAGGTGCTTTTACTTGCTGCAGGAAAAAAAGAGGTGCTGAGTTCGGAGGGAATTGTTTCTCTAGCAAACAATTTACAAACTGTGCCTCCCAATGTGCTGTTTATGGCATCTTACGCCCTTGTGGAAAGCTGTACGTACGAGAACATTGTGAGTCAGGTTTGGGGAACACAGGAGAAACATTTTAATAAAGTAGATAATCACTCCCTTCCTAAACGCTTGTTGGAGTCGCATTGTTTCAACCCCGACGGACTGAAAGTCTTCGGGATAGAGACGGTCCCCTTGAGTAGTGATGAAGGAAATATTTATAACGGGTTATGTCGCAGAGAGGCGTATTGGATCTATTCTTGAACTAGCCTGGCACCTGGGTCTGAATATCCACAGCTCTCTAATCTAGACAGGTCCAGACACCTCATTCATTCATTGTGCATTTATTCTTTTTTTAATCAATTTTGTCATTTTTTTTTTCTTTCTAGTCTGGATCCATTGTTTTATCGATCATTTTTATTTTACATCAACTAGTGATCTATTTGCATACACTTTTGCCAGTTTATCCATTGACACTACCATATGCCATCGGGTCTTGTGTAGCCTTTCTGTTTGTATGCACATATGTGTGTACATATATGTGTATACATGTTTGTGCACATGGAGATTATATATATATATATATATATATATCTCTATACAGGTGAAACTCGAACTAAGCTCTTAGCATCGCATGGATTTATGTGTACCTGTTGTAAGCTTTGATGCTATATACCCCGAACGGCCATTCCTAGCTATTTCGGTGTTTTAAGTGTGTGTATCCTGCATTCCTCTCCCCTCCCCAAGTTCATATAGATGTCGGGTTCAGTTATCTGGGCTCCGTTCTAAAAGCCGGCGACATTGATGTAACATCGATCGGGAACATATACTCCGCCCTCGCCCTTGGATTGGCTAGGGGCAGGCCCTAGACTGCCCGTCCACTCTTGCTGCTTTGACAGTGGACTCAGGGCAGGTTGCCCAGCCGCCCTCTCAGTTCAAATTTGACTCATTGAAGGCAGTCATGTGACATCCTAGAGCGTGGGTAGGCAACCTTGGCTCTCCAGCTGTGCTGAAACTACAATTCCCATCATGCTTCTGCCTCTGGGAGTCATGCCTGTGGCTTGCAATGCCTTATGGGATTTGTAGTTTCAGCACAGCTGGAGAGCCAAGGTTGCCTACCCCTGTCCTAAAGGACACTCCTATTGATCGGCTGATCCATGTGACCGGTCCCTGATTGGACACTATATGAGATATCAGGGGAGAAGGCTGCTAGGTTCTGATGAAGGGGGTGTGTCCCCAGAAACGCGTAAACTGAAGCTGACATGCAGTTTGAAGGACCAGTGCTCCGGTCTGCATAATTCAATCTGTGCCGTTCTGATGTTTTTTCCAATCTTCTACACAAGGGAGGCGCACTGTGTTTGTGTTCTCTGTCTATTATATTTTCAACTGTGGTCACAGGAACATCGAGTTGCTTGGAGATTGTCTTATAGCATTTACCTTTGATATGGTGGTGTATAATTTTCTTTCAGATCTCCTCAGACAACTCTGATCCATGTCCAGTGTGGTGCACATAATACCAAAGAGCAAAGTGACTACTTTTCTCTATTTATTGTAAATAGGCTGACTGGTTACAAGATTGAAGACATGTGATACTAATTACAGAAAAGAGTTATTTTTAATTTCAATCGTTTTTTATTGAGTAATTTTTGTGTGAAAATAGTGCAGAACAAAAAACTAGGTCCACTCGGGACCAACATTCCGGAAAAATAAAATGTTGGTGGAAACAAACAATAAAGAAAGCCAAGGCAATCATATTCGCAATATAGAAAAAAGGTCAAAGAACGCAGCATCTTATATCAGTGATCACAAAGGACAGAAGATATCATTGAGAAGGTAAATTAGGTTGAGACCATAGAAACCAAAGGTACCATTTTCGAAAGAAGCTTGCCAGTGTATCATTGCGTTTCGTCCGGTATACGCTCATATTCGCAATTGAGTCGTAGTATCTGCAAAGTCTCTGAGGTATTGACAGCTATCAAGCTTTTCCAATGTCTGGCTTTTGGTAATTTGGATGCTAGAAAAATATGAATTACGATAAATCTAAGATGGATAGGATTAGGGATGCACCGATACCACTTTTTTTTTAAGGCCGAGTACGAGTACCGATACTTTTTTTCAAGTACTCGCCGATACCAATTACCCATACTTTTTCTTAAAGGGACAGGTCACATTTTTTCTAAAGCAATACAAAATCATAACAATGCTTGTATCAGTATCAGTGCATCCGTAGATAGGATAATAATCGATTCCTAAATTTAGTAGAGCCAAGCCAGATGTGGGGACAGAAGGACAGCCAGTAACAGCCGCTATAATTTGGAAAATTTTGTTCCAAAAACTAGTGAGAGATTTGCAAGACCAATAAGTGTGGATCAAAGTTCCTGTGTGGCCAAAGCCCCTCCAGCACTCCGAAGAATTGTTTGGAGACATTTTGGCCAAGCGATAGGGAGTTAAGTACCAGCGAAGCAGAGTTTTGTGTGCTAGTTCCCACATAACTACACACCGAGTGGCTCTGTAAGTTTCCCTAAAGGTAAGTAACCATTGACAGAGATGTCTATGTCTCATTCCCAGGCCAAAATAGAAGCATTTTTCATGAAGGTTAGTTTATCTTGAAGAAGTGAATAAAAAAATGATATTCCCTTGGATTGCGACTAAGAGTACGTATAGTAGGAAATGACTTTATAGGGGAGTTTAATGAATAGTGATTTGTTATACATGAGGAGGTGGGCTAATTGAACATATTTGTGATATTCTCTACTGGGAAGATGGAATTGAGTGGATATCACAGAAAATGGTTTAATGGAGCGGCTTTCCGTAATGTCCTGTAAAGTTCACAGGTTTCCCAGATTGTAGTGAGAGTTCAGGAATCAGAAGTTCCAATAAGGACAACGTGTTTTAAAGAGGAGTGTGAGAAAGTAGACAAGATTAATGTTCGTGAGGCCAGTACGGATACCAGAATAGGAGGCGATAAATCCGATTGTGGGAGCAGATTCCCAGGAACCTTAGGCCTTTCAATGTGGAGTCTTTATTTATCATTAGGCGATAGGAACCAGCTTCCAAGTTGCGTTAATATAGCAGCCATATAGTAATCTTTAAAATCAATATAACCCATGCCACCCACAGATCTATGTTTATAAGTATGTGGGAATGTGCCATATAAAATCTTTGAGGCAGAAAATAGTTTTTTTCAAATAGCACTATGATTCAATTATTCTTAAGCTTTTCTAGGGGTGCTAACAAATCTGTCCAGGCCATAAAAAATATCTTTGTAGAATAAGCAATTATTTATTTCTTTTCACACTTTCTTTGCTTTCATTTAACATACCAAAGTCATGCAGGTATATATGAGAAAATTGCTTTTAATTCCATTACTCCATTACATGAGGCATTGATGAATAAGCTTTATGGCACCAACAGATTTTTACACAGCTGTATTTGATAGCCACAGCTTTGAGATGTACCCAAGCTTACTACCACAGAACAAATGTGAAATAATGCTGATTAATAATTTAATTTGATCATTGCTAAATATATATCCAATGACAGTGCAAGTAATAAAAGATAAAAGTGCTTTCTACTGAGCTACTAGCAAAAAAACAAATATGGTAGTCCTAAGAGTCTGACTGACTACACATCACTAATTACACATATTACAATTATTTAGCCTGATTCTGGTTTCCGAAATTTGGAGATGAAGGAAGCTACAGTATATAGCTCGAAGGACAATGGTTTTGGTTTTCTATGTTCTATCAAGTCCTTTGTTGTTTTCTATTGCACGGAGCAGCTTTTTGCGGAGCACTGGAAGTTTGGAGTATTCAGGGAGCAGTAGTAGCTGAGTGCAAGTCTGAGCTTCTGGAAGGTAGTTTTCCTTTGGGACACCAAATGAGGAGATCTTCATACACATAGTTTCAAAAAAAAACACTGGAAGTTTATCATTTCCAGTCAGGAAATCTAAAAATACAAATCAGATGAACATATCAGGTTAGTCGGTGTACCAAAAGTCTCCTGCAAAATAATATTTTAGTCGTTTATATAACACCAACAGTGCAATTTTGCAGCATTGGTCATGTGGTAGATTAACAGTATAGTTATATGATCATTCAGAGCATAACAACATCAATGTTTATTTCCTGTTCCTAAAATATGCATTTTAAAAGATAACTATGGGGTAACCTTTTTATCCCATAGTTCTCTCTAGGGTCACGAGAGGACATATACTAACCTCCTCCCGTGACCCAAAGCTCAGTATATAGCGGACTATTGCCCGCTATATACTGAGAGTGCCGCAGCCAGGACGGATCCCGACAATACTGTCAAGATCCACCCAGCTAGCTTATTGACAGCGGGCTCTGCCTATCTAGAGGCAGAGCCAGCTGTACCCGCCCACTCCCCCGTCTGTTCCTCCAGTCAGTGTTGGAGGATCGGAGAGGGGAGGGGGAAATAGCTGACAGTCACCGCTCTCTGCACGGAGATGATCGCGAAGTCAGCGAGCAACGATATGCGCTCGCTCACTTCCCGATCTATAAGGACAGTTTCAATGTCAAACATTGGTTCAAACTATGGGGTTGAGTGTAAATCACTCACCTCATAGTTCTCCTTTAATGGGGTATGGTAAATGCCTTATGAAACTTTCAAGTGAGGTCCACACAAGGACAGCAATATGACAGAAGTCTACTTGGAAAGGTTGAGAAGTGGTAACCAGGAAAGGATTAGCTCTTGACTGCTTTGAAAGAGATGGGTGTGTGCTAGGAAACCAAACCGGAGATGCCAGACTTGATATGTTGGAAAAAGGATTTAAAATGATAAAAAATGTATTTATTAGACCAAGAGGGTAGGGGGCATCAAAAATGGACCATTCAGTACTGTTTCATTTAATAATACTCAATACATGGGAGCACTAACAAGGCCCAAATACATTTAAATAACTTAATTACTAGACATCAGTCATTATGTGAATAAGTAAATGCAAACTTAAAAGTGCTTATGCTTTAATATATATTCATATTATTACACAGAAAATCTTGTATCAACTAGTTCTTTGTTATGAAACCTGGAGATAAAAAAGTTGAGCAAATGGCCACAGAAATAAATTAGACTGTATGTCATTGCAGGCTAGAGAATGAAAGATGAAATATGATTGATAGCAAGTGCTGTCTTTAATGCTCCTTGTGTCATATCAAAAATACTGTAAACCTCTTATGTTTACACATAACATGTATGATAAATGAGCACAACATATACCAATTATAATAATGGTTTAATTCTAAATATACTAGTTTATCAAGCAACCAAAAAAGCATTTGGTGCTAAATTATATTATGTGCATCCAAAGTGAATTTTACATTACATTATAACATTCATCTAGATAGGATCAAAGCAAATTTATTTTGTTATCTATTTGGTTGACTACTGCATGCCCAAGCACTCTTGTAGGGGCAGATTAACACTATCAGGGTTATTCACAAAAGGGTGAAGAGTTTGGAGAAGTCAGAAGAAGTGAACAATCTAGGACAACAGCTGATTTGGAAAAATTCTCCAATTCAGCTCACTTTCCAGTTCAGCTATGTTGTCCTAGATTGTTCATTTCTCCTGTCTTCTCCAAACTCTCCACCCTTTTGTGAATAACCCTGTATATAATAATCTTACCAGCATCTCCTGTTAGAATACAGCATAATTTATACCTCTAGGTGGCACCAAAGTTCTCATCAATTCAGTGTGCCTTTCATGGTTCTGCTCATGTTAGTATATCTTTTTATTACGTTTGTTTTCTCTTTTTTATGGCCTATAAGAACATTTTTTGTTTTTAGTTTATTTTGTTTTTTACAGAAAACAGGATAGAATCTATGACCATATCATAGTTTAAAGAGAACCAGTCAAAATATGGTTTATACAAGATTCTGTACAGTTTTAAATTAACACACTCTGAAACCTCTGAAAGTTTTAGATTTACCCCTTTTATTAACTTTACTTTCTGAACTTGTTGACCTAAGAGGCGAAGTTTAAAGGCCCTGAGGTCTGACAGTTGCTGACTTGTCAACTACCTGAACTAATAAAACATAAAGTTGTGTACAGGGTTTTTTATGTGATATTGTTATGAATGCATGGGTTATCAACATGTGGTTAGGTAGTTGCTATAGAATATAAGTTACATAAGGGAATCAATATAAATGTCCCATACATAAACCAGCAGTTCCAATAACGTAGCCTAAATATTCAGATTCTTGCAAAAGCTTACTCATGAGTGGTTCTGTTAAAATATCATTCATTTACATGTCTACAATTAATTATTTAGATATGTCCCAAATTTAAACTAATGTGTCAAACAATATGAGTTATACCAACGAATATACTTGTGGATGAGAAGTTTTAATCTCATAGAAGCACTGACACCATACTAATGTGAGTTACTCTTAAATCTGTATGTTCTCATATGACAGATGACTAGGAAAAAAAATAACCGGGCGCCTTTCCTGGTGCAGGTAAAACCTTTTTATTCAATAAAAGAGTAAATAAAAATATAAATAGACAGATGGAGAGATGAAGGAGACTCTCCTCACAGAGTTCCACTGCTAGCTCTTAGCACGCTTTTGGGGACACCTCCCCTTCCTCAGAGCTTCAGGGGGTGTGTCCCCAAAAGCATGCTAACCATTAGCAGTGGAACTATGTGAGGAGAACAGAGTCTCCTGAGTGTCTCCTTGATCTCTCCATCGGTCACATCCACAGCAGCTATTCAATCAAGGACTGTCAGTCCATTTTGATATTTATATACTGCCTATTTTGTGAGTATGTTTTTGTTTACCTCTTTTTTTGAACCGGGTACAAGGAAAGGCACCCGGTTGTTTTTTGTTTTTCTATATAGCCTTCCAGACTCCCTAACTGGAACAGGGCAGCCTCTACTGGATGGGCAGTGAAGGCCTCTGGCTTTTGGATGGTCTTTCTGAAGCTGGTCGGTGTATTGCATTTTTTGGATTTAAACCCTTTACTTACAGAGAAAGCCCTTCTTTTGTGGTAGTGTCAGATCATGGAAAACCTTCCAGAACATGGTTATGGTTGGGTGGTCTCGGGAGTATTTCCCCACGTATTTAGTATTCTGCAGGGAACACAAAATAAGAGTAGAAGATTTTATTAGGTAATAAAAACAGATACAATGTCCTAAGATTTGAAATACAAAGGAATCAGCAACAGTCCAAAAGACAAATTCCCTTTTGGATGTTCCTTTTTACAAGAACAACTAGTGGTTATATACAAGTCAAAATTTGTTTTACAATTTTAGAAGTTAGTAAAAATAAATAGTAATTTTTTAATACTGCAATAAAAATGATATAACAACCTGTTATACATGTCAAAAATATATTTTACAACTTTAAAACTTAGTGAGAAATAGATATTAATTTCTATAAACGGGCATATACATTTTATCAGAATTATAAATTAAAGTAGGAATGTTTCTTTTTTTAAAGTATAGGATTGGAATTAAAAATGAAAGTAGGAATATATTATTTTTTAAATGTACCATCTGCATCAGAATATAGGATAGTTGTCCTTGAAAGAATATAATATAGCAATAAGTGAGCAGAGACCAAATATTTGTTGAAATGGTACATCATTTTTTAAGCTGGCATGACACAGGTAAGACTTCTGTCATTATTACTGCAAAGGCCAGATAGCATAACAAGTCATCATTTACCAGCTCAAATATATTCCAGTCATAATTTGCATGGCCAGCAACAAGATCCATCAGTTCATCTGGCTGGAAAAATGACAGAATGTCTTTGTCACAAACTTTGTGCAGTCCTGCCTTGAACTCCTCAAAATACTCGGCCACAGAGGTGTTGAAAATGTAGTCAACATACTTGTTCACATAGTTTTGCCTTTAAGATAGAAAAAATATTCATTTATGAGCAATTTTCTCTACAGTTCCTTTTACTTTTATTGCTTACGTAACACAAGCATTACTATATCGGTGCTTCTAAAAGTAAACCCACTTAACACACACAAGAAGCCAATAGCAATACTCTAATGTGTTATTGAGTTACAGTTCTGAGTCTGCTGGGGCTGCTGACATCACACCCAAGAAAGCACCTATCAGCAGGAAGTTCAGGGAAGCAAAGCTAGGAGAGATGGAGCCAGCGGTTTACAAACATGATGACTGTAAATGTTTGGACAAATATATAAAGAAAAAACTTTGCTGGACAATGTATATTTGTTTGATCTGGATTCACTGCATACGTGCACATACTGTATAAATGCGCATATACTCTTATGGGAAGATTGTTGTTGAAATGAATGGTCTGGTGACATATTCTGTGATATTAGTGTTTTGGGTACTGCCATCTTCCTTCTCTTTACCTTTTTGGTGGACATGTCGGTTCTCCATACCCAAATAAAATCATACAACACATATTTCAGAAAGGTGAACAGTACCTTTCATCTCACAATCTTGGATGTTGGCCTTTGGAAGCAAATAGAAGTTTAACAGTTCACATAAATCTTGGAAGTAAACAATCTCCACCCCTTCTAAGGCCAAATAACCCCAAGCCAAGTACCTGCATGAGGAAACGTTCCTGGGCTCCTGGCAATGCAACATAAAACGTCTGCATACATGCAAAGCATAGGACATTCCTCTGCTCCATCTAGTGGCATTCATATGCTGTGATTGTCGGTCACACAGCTATACCCTGTGAGAATGCATTATTAATCAGCCCCTAAGCCACTGAGTGAATCTGAGTCAATGGACAAGAAAAATTAATACTTGTTTTTTGGCCCACTGATGGAGAAGTGGTAGAGTACATGAAACACGTAAATCCCACGATGCTAGTTATAATCCCATAAAAAAATTATTTTCAGTTGCAATTCTTACATCTTGTGTATTGAGAGAACACTCATACATACTTGTTTATACCGGTCACACGCTCTGATGTTCCATTTGGAATGAGTTCTATAGTTCGGTTTTCCCAGGTGATCTAAAAGCACATTTAAACATTACTAAGGAAAGCATATGTGTATCATTTATCTAGCAGGAAGTTCCCAACATGCTGATACCCAATATAAATGGATCTATTACATGTCATTTATCTAGCAGGAGGTTCCTCACATGCTGACTGACACCCAATATAAATGGATCTATTACATGTTTCTTCTTAGTCTAGAATGATGTTGTGAATTATGAGTGCGCAGTGCTGCGTTGAATCTCTTAATAAGATTACATCAATGATGTCATGGAAGACTGAGTTAGCTGAGCAGGCCAAAAGGTTAGAAGTGTAGGTATCTGTTACCACTAAAAATAAATTATGCTTACTTGGAAGTAGACCAGATTTTAGGGTGCAGCGTCATACAAAATTATCTAAGAGCGCACTTGTATACCACATGTAACATTTAACAACAGTTAAGCAAAAGGATTTGGCAGTGTATTAGCTACTATTTTTTTCAATATATAGACTGCAAATGTTCATTTATAATTTTAATTTATCAGCTCTTCATCAGTAATATTTATAAAGTAAACCTGTTGAAAAACAGAAAATTCCACCTGAATCATATGATGAAAAAAAGGTTCAGCAGAGATTATATACATGAATTGCACATGAAAATGATTGTCAGATCCAATTTAAGACGCCAATCTAAAATCTGGCCATCATATTGGTCCTTTCTTGTGTCACTAACCAATAGGGAAGTTCAGTAGATGACTCCAAGGAGTGGTTGTGGGGCCAAGCTTAACGTTTCATGAAAAGATGTGATTTGCTACCTGTATCTCGGGATCTAATCACCAACTTTAAATGCAAATTTTAGTGATGTTAACTATGCTGGTAATAAATAAGCTCTGATTATTTAACAAAAATAGGGGTAATATGCAGTAGCACATGCAGTAGCAAGAATGAAGAATCCATCTTTGACCAAAGTGATCTTCAGAGTGTCTCCTACACTCCACCCGTCTACAGACACCGCTCGAGATAACCGCTCCTTGACATCGGGCTCCACACCCCAGAACGTCAACCTCTGACCTACTCTTCACGGCTAGCAGCGCAGCACCCGCACTACAGGCTTCCCCAGCAAACACCTGCAGGTCACAGTTCCGTCCGGCTGTCAGGAAGCCCCAGCATGAGTCCATCTCCACTGCGGCTGAACACTCTGTCACCCCGGCGTCTCCATTTCCAACACTTCGCTCCACAGCACCTGCCATTAGAGGACACCTATGCCAGCAATCGTCCTGAGGACCACCCCACGGCCCACCGCCCAGGCACGACACGGGCCGCACCGTCATCGCTGAGAGCCGTTCTCCACTATCCCCACGGTGAGTTACAGAAGCCCACCCCTTCTTCACCCACCATTGCATACTTCACCCCCTCGTTTTTGTGTCTCCATCTGCCTAATTCGGTTTAATCGCTACACCACCCTGGAAAAGAGGGACCATTCCCACTACTACTCCACTCCATCTGCTTCACCTCAACCCGACGATTACAAGCAAATGCTCACCCAGCCATAGGTAAGTACATCACTTATGCTTACACCCTGCTCTACCACATTTATTGCGCCAGATAGTGGCGCTTCCGTCTCCAATTTTTTGTTTCCTTACAGCACACTTGTTGGACACCCCGGTCCAGACAGAACGGAAGCCGCACACCTGCACAACTACCCCAACCCCCCCTATATTTATACCTATCACACCACAAGTGATAACCAATGTACCCACCAAGTACTGCCTCTCTCCCCCGCATTTCCCCCTACCTCTGACAAGCGCCACACATGGTGTAAAACTCTTTCAATTTTTGATCTTTGACCAATATGACTACAGTAAACTCAAATCTGATTGGATGATTTGCATTACTGCACTATTCTTTCTGCAGCCATTAGTATACACACTACTGTAGGTCTTACAAATTATTCTACATCTAACTTTTTTGGAATGCTACTAAAAATACTAGTTTTGTGTGAGTCTGGAACAGTCGTAATTCTTGCTGAGTAGTGACAGTACCAGAGGCGCAGTACATTCCACATCAACATTTGTGTTTCCCCGAAAATAAGACAGACACTGTCTTATATTTTTTTCCCCCCAAAAAACACACTAGGGGGATGTCTTATTTCAAATACTGTCACACACAGTGTCACAATACCTGCAGGCTGCAGCTGTCCTGGAGCTCTCCTCTCTGATGCCGTCCACAGTTCTCTGTGGGATCCCTGCCAGGGAGCCACCTCTCTCGTCGCCAGGCTGGACTGCACAGACCTCCAGTCAGAAGTTCCCTCAGTGACTGAGGCTCAGTCACCTCACCTCACTCCGACCCCACTGGCCATGCTGTGCAGCTGCCTGCTGGCAAATGTAGTTTTTTGCCCAGCAGCAGCTCTCTAAGCAAAGGCTAAGGGGCAGACAGGTGTCTGCTGATTTCCTGACAGGGGCCACATGCGGGAGCTGCAGTGCAGCGGTAAGTCCCCGCCATGTACTCCGGTTGCTCTCTGGGCCGCCCCCAGCCCCAAACTAGGTCTTATTTTCTGGGTAGGTCTTATATTACAGGAATGTTTAAAAATAGTGCTAGGTCTTACTTTAGGGGTAGGTCTTATTTTCGGGGAAACACGGTAGTAGTGTGAAGGACCTGAATTCTCAGGGAGGGAAAACCTCTTTTTACAATAACAATCAGTGGAGTTCAATGTTACACCATAGGAGACCACAAATTGCTGAATAATGCTAGCATATGACCAATATAAGGGGGTTGTGTGCTATCACTTTAGACTTTTTAGACACTGCATATTTCACATTAAAGGCAATGCATGCCCAAAGTGGATGCCTTTCTTGTCTACTCCTTAGCTCAGCCTATATACTACATTCCACTAGAAGACATACAAATATTATGCTACAATTACCAGGAATTCATGGTAACTAATTTGTCAAAGCTGTTCAGTTCTCATTATTGGTCTTTGCATATATATATATCCATAAATCATGACATCCATGAAAATATTAATCATTAGAATAAGTAATAAATCAAGACCAGTTTCTTACAGTAAAATACAGTTCAAGGGCTTCCACTTTATCATCTTTAGCATCCAGTATGATCTGTAGACTTCTAGAAAATAAGGAAAGCATCATTCCAGATTTGCCTGCATAAAATCATGTCAGTGTTACAGTAGGTCTAAAATGAAGGTCCATCAAAAACAAATACAGTGTTTACTGGGATACTACCAATAACCCTATAGAGAAAATGACTAGCTCTGACCTATGCAATTCCGGTCACGAAACCTCACTTGTTAAATGAAAACCTTGCAGCAGTAGAAGATAATAATCACTTGCATGTTGCTCATATTTTTTTTTTTTAATAAAACATTGTCTTTTACCCATATTATGGCCTTTGTGATTTTATTAGGGATCTGAAGTGATAAAAGTGATCTGAAGTGATAGAAGTGATAATTCCTGGCTGTGCCACCCCTGCTGTTATGAAGGTAGATACCAGGAGCCTACAGAGAAGGTTGTTAACAAATGTTCGGATTTCAGGCAAAATCAGTGATTTATCAGTACACCCATTAACTAATTAAACTATAGGTTGGACTCGATGGACTTGTGTCTTTTTTCAACCTGACTAACTATGTAACTATGAATTTAAAGCAAAGTTGTTAGTGCACAAAAAATATTAACAAAGCAGGAGCTGATTGTAATATGTGCAGAGTGGAGGAGGTGTCAGTGCTGCTATTATGCTGTGCTCTGCTGTGTGCAAGCTCCTACTGTCAGACTCTGTGCCCTGTCTGCAGATAAATGAGAGGCTGTTTAGTGAGCCACAAACATAAATAAATGATAGCAGGAGAATACTACAGAGCATCATTTAAGTGATAGCTCTAGGGCTGGTAATGTCATATCCAAGAAGGTGCTCGGAAGTGTTTAATATCATATCATCAATAATTATGGAAAAATGAAATGCACAAAACAAGGCAATTTGACACAAAATGTTATGGGAAGATTGTTGATGATATTAATAGTATGAGGACAGGGTATCCTTAGTTAAAATTGATAAGGTGAGAACTTGTTATATACGGTCATGAACTTGCTATTTCTGTCCTGGACCTGCTGGTGGCATTGTGCCCAGTGGCTGGTCATATATGATTCCAGTAGCCAACAGCTGGTGTCCCCCTGCAGCATATTCATCGTATGCATCCTGTCCAGTCCCGTGGTTTCCTTGCTATGCTAGTTCCCATCCTACCCTGGCCATTCTTTGTCCTGTCCCTGGCCATTCTTATATATGTTTTGCATTTGTTGTTAGTGTACTGTACTTTTTGTGCTAGTTATTTTTCTTTGTTCACCTACTCACTGCTATTGCTATCACTGTATGATGTATTTACCATCTCATTATACATATTCATCACCCTGCATTCTGGTGTCTAAAGTCATGCTCACTCACTGTATTGTATCTATTGAGGCAGTGCATGGCAATGCCACGGTGTAGTATGGCAACTTTGGCACCCAGGACTCTCAGCCAGAGGGGCTGAGAGGGTCCAGAATGTGAACCATTTTATAAAGGCAGAACCTGGCTTTCCAGATTCTTCCGGGTTTTCCTAATTCTAGATGGGATCTGGAGCTCTGGAGATTTCTCAGAGCTCTGGGTGGGATGAAATCTCCAGTCCTGGGGCCAGGTGTTGCCAATGACCAGCCTGGGCTGATCAGGTGGCTGGGAGCAGCCTCATTAGGAAGCCAGCACAGAGCTCAGAGGGATGTTGTGGGTGTGCAGGAGGCACATGAGCACAGGCAGTTTTTGCTGCATGCGTGAGCACAAGTGCCACAGCCAGGAAGGCTGGAGAGGTCAAGAGGGTTGGGGACCCTTCGATAACTGCTAGAGAGACAGCGAGAGACAGTGACCCAGGAGGGGTGAATGCTGAACCGCTTGGGGCTGAGGAAAGCTGCTGAGCAATAATGGAGGCTGTATTCACAGAGAAATACGGTAAAGTCCTGGGACTATCACATTGGGAGTGTATGTGACAGCCAGATGTTGGTGAGACCAAAACACAATGTTTTGATGAAAGTCCAATGAACTGTTATGTTTCATTTATGCTGAAGAAAGGCGAGTTATTTTGTGAAGTTCATGGATTGTTGACCTTTTGCATGAATAAAGACTGTCCTTTTTATGTTAAAGTCAGCTTCAGGAGTGGTCTCTCAGCGCGCACCATTGGGCTATATTCCCCAAACTATGACACTATGAAGAAGCAACGTTGTCACCCTAGGCTGCTCTCATGCACCACAAATGCCTCATGCTCTCCTCATCTCCATTACACAGAGGGGAAGGGTTTGGAAGTCCTCAGAGGTAGCTGGGAACGATGTAACTGATTTCAGTGCAGAAAGTTACCAGTTTACAAGGGTTCTAGCAGGATCAACTAGTATTCTTGCACTTGCCAAAAGATATACAGTAAAATAACACTTTCAATGTTATTTTTAATAGACAAAATATGAGAAGGTCATTGTTGGGGATTATATACTCTTTAATTTAATAATTGTCTTACCTTCCCAAAGTAGGCTGCAATTCTTTTAAATCGTCCAGAGTAGTTTTTCTGCCCAGAAGCTTCTTAAACAAGGCAAGTGGAAAAGCACCCAGGACTCTCAGCCAGAGGGGCTGAGAGGGTCCAGAATGTGAACCATTTTATAAAGGCAGAACCTGGCTTTCCAGATTCTTCCGGGTTTTCCTAATTCTAGATGGGATCTGGAGCTCTGGAGATTTCTCAGAGCTCTGGGTGGGATGAAATCTCCAGTCCTGGGGCCAGGTGTTGCCAATGACCAGCCTGGGCTGATCAGGTGGCTGGGAGCAGCCTCATTAGGAAGCCAGCACAGAGCTCAGAGGGATGTTGTGGGTGTGCAGGAGGCACATGAGCACAGGCAGTTTTTGCTGCATGCGTGAGCACAAGTGCCACAGCCAGGAAGGCTGGAGAGGTCAAGAGGGTTGGGGACCCTTCGATAACTGCTAGAGAGACAGCGAGAGACAGTGACCCAGGAGGGGTGAATGCTGAACCGCTTGGGGCTGAGGAAAGCTGCTGAGCAATAATGGAGGCTGTATTCACAGAGAAATACGGTAAAGTCCTGGGACTATCACATTGGGAGTGTATGTGACAGCCAGATGTTGGTGAGACCAAAACACAATGTTTTGATGAAAGTCCAATGAACTGTTATGTTTCATTTATGCTGAAGAAAGGCGAGTTATTTTGTGAAGTTCATGGATTGTTGACCTTTTGCATGAATAAAGACTGTCCTTTTTATGTTAAAGTCAGCTTCAGGAGTGGTCTCTCAGCGCGCACCATTGGGCTATATTCCCCAAACTATGACACTATGAAGAAGCAACGTTGTCACCCTAGGCTGCTCTCATGCACCACAAATGCCTCATGCTCTCCTCATCTCCATTACACAGAGGGGAAGGGTTTGGAAGTCCTCAGAGGTAGCTGGGAACGATGTAACTGATTTCAGTGCAGAAAGTTACCAGTTTACAAGGGTTCTAGCAGGATCAACTAGTATTCTTGCACTTGCCAAAAGATATACAGTAAAATAACACTTTCAATGTTATTTTTAATAGACAAAATATGAGAAGGTCATTGTTGGGGATTATATACTCTTTAATTTAATAATTGTCTTACCTTCCCAAAGTAGGCTGCAATTCTTTTAAATCGTCCAGAGTAGTTTTTCTGCCCAGAAGCTTCTTAAACAAGGCAAGTGGAAATGGTAGATACATGACCCACTGATTGAAGATTGCCAGGCCACAAAGTATTCCATAGTAATAATATTGTTTCTTTTCTGCTATTGACTGCAAAGGGAGAAAGTTTGATGTTTATGTAAGACCATGTTGATGTGACCATCATGTCAAGGCTACTACAGTAAGTGATATTTCTACAGACATTAAAACTATGCAAAAAAACATGCAGACTTAAGCAAGTCCATTACTTTACATTGTGTTACTCTGACATGAAAACATTTGGTACTTCTTTAGATATTGCATTAGACTGTCCACACAAGGTTAGATATTTCACTCAAAACAATGTGATAACCTAGGATCTCTCTATCCTCCCTCAAACCATGCCTCGGCTTTCTTTCTGCCCTTGCACTAACCATAACATCAGGGCCAGATTCCCCATTAGGCACAATAGGCCTGTGGCCATAGGGGGCACAGGTAGAAGTGACTTTCCCCTGTACAGTTATAAACAACACATTTTTCCCATCATCAGTAGTGATACTTATATCTCATATTTGCTTATTTATGTTGTCACATTATTCTAATCTGGGTAAGGACCAATAAAACAAGAAATTATAGTCTGCAAAAGGGTTGAGAGTGTTTCATTTGGGCACCAAAGCTTGTGTGCTTAAAGGCCCAGTGATGGACACTGGGCGCTGACAAGCACTAAATCTCACACTTAAAGGAGAACTATGAGATGAGTGATTTCCACTCACCTCATAGTTCAAGCCGACCTGTGACAATGAGACTGTCACAGGTCGGCTCAGTAGATGAGGTGAGCGAACAGATACCGGCGTTCACTCACCTCTCAATCCTGTCACGGCTCTCTGCCGTGACAGGGGAGGGGCTGGATTCCCCTCTCCCCACTCCGATCCGCCAGCGCTGACTGGCGGAACGGACGGAGGAGGGGGCGGGTACAGCTGGCTCTGCCTCTAGATAGGCAGAGCCAGCTGTCACTCACGCAGCTGGGCGGATCTCGACATCGATGTCGGGATCCGCTCCGGCTGCGGCGTCTCAGTATACCGCAAGCTGTAGCTCGCGGTATACTGAGCTTAGGGTAACGGGAGGACGCTAGTTTGTGTCCTCCCGTTACCCTAAGGAGAACTATGGGGAAAAGCCCTGACCCCATAGTTCTCCTTTAAACTCACACCCAAAACTTAAACTTAACCCCTTGTTTCTGTACACACCTGTCCTACATCAGGGTCCACTACACTAAAGACTGCCCCTCAAAACTGAAAGATACCAGGACCAGGATGCTACACCTACAGTTCTGCAATTGTCGCAAAAGCTTACATCTGGTGCATTATTTGCAAACACTGGCCGATGCATAGTCAATTAAACATTAGTCCATCTTTATCATTATTACTGTATAAATAAGGGCTAAAAATATATAATGAAAATTGGCTATGACTGGGACTGGTGAGATGGATATATGGATATGTAGATTATAGGAGGAGTATATGAGAGGGTTGCAAAAGAACTGCATTTGATAGGAAAGTTAATAGGTAGATTCCAATAACATGTACTAAATGCAATACATAAATATATATACAGTGTGTGTGTGTATATATATATATATACATATATATATATACACACACACATGGTCAATTACATCACTGCATCCCGCCCCTTTTGCTTACATGCAGCTGCGGGCAGGAAATTTTCTGGCCGAAGTTGGCTGGACAACAGTGGAAGGAGTTTCTTTCTGGGTTTACAGGAGCTTCTTTCATTTTCATAGAAACTCAGTCTCTAGTTATCAATTGCAGCCCCAGTTTTTCTCTCATGACATGTTTTTTATTTTGTTATATCCAGCATAATTAGCTGATCATTGGGATTAACCAGAGATAGGAACATACAGTATATTGGGGATGTCACTTCTCTCTACAATAGCTCACTCTCGTCCTGTATGGATGCACTTGCCCTCTCACCACTCACAGAATCAGGCGCCGTCCACTACAGCCTTGGCAGACAAATGACACTAGAAGACTTAGAAGACATAGTCGTGCTCCTGAGCGACTATGGCGTAAATTCAAATCCCTGCAAGACTTTACCCAATATAAACCTGCGCTCCAAAAATAAAGTACCCGCCTCCACACAGCGAAAAAGACCTATTCCATCACACTCGTTAACATCCTCTAACCTTTAGTGAGTCCTCATCAACTCTTTTCTACCTTCAACTCAGAAAATTGCCAATTACTTCAGAGATAATATTGACACAATTCGCTATGAAATGTCCACTGTCCAGACCTCTCCCACTCCAAACACACCTTGTCTACCACCACATCACCACTCTCTTCATTTGATCCAGTTACAACAGACGAAGTTGCTACTCTTTTGTCTAACACAGGCCTAACCACCTGCCCCCTGGACCCCATCCACTCACAAATACTCAGGTCCCCCTCTAGCACTATTCTACACTCTCTTACTCACATCTTCAATCTCTTCCTTTCGAATGGTGTCGTACCTACCACTCTAAAAAAAAAGCATTGGTGACCACCATATTAAAAAACAACACTCTTTGGGGCCCACCATTCTGGACAACTTGAGACTCATCTCCTTGCTCCCATCTACCTCCAAACCTCTTGAACGGCTGGTCTAGAACCGCCTGAGCTGCCACAATAACAATCTCCTTGACCCGTTTCATTCTGGCTTTCGTCCACAACACTCCACAGAAACTGCCCTTCTAAAACTTACTAACGATCTACTAACTGCTAAAACCAATGGCCACTACTCTATACTCATACTTTTAGACCTCTCTGCTGCCTTTGACACAGTTGAACACCTGCTTCTCCTTAATAAACTCAAATCCCTTGGCCTCCAAGACTCTACTTTCTCATAGTTCACCTCCTAACTATCTCAGTGCACCTTCAGTGTCACCTACAATTCTACCTCCTCCTCTCCTCTTCCTCTTTCCGTGGGAGTCCCCCAAGGGTCTGACTTTGGGCCTATTCTCCCTCCACACCTCCTCCCGGGGTCAGTTGATAACCTCCCATGGCTTCCAATACCATCTCTATGCTGATGACGCCCAAATCTCTCTCTCCACTCCTCAGCTCACCCCTTCTGTCTCTTCACGTATCTCAAATCTACTCACTGACATCTCTGCATGAATGTCACACCACTACCTCAAACGAAATCTGTCCAAAACTGAGCTTCTAATATTTCCCTCTCCGTGTCCCCTCCCCCGAATTTTCCATCACAATCAACAGCACTACAATCAACCCCTCCAGTCAAGCCAGGGTGCTTGGTGTTATCCTTGGTTCAGAGCTCTCCTTTCAGCCCCACATCCAATCACTATCTAAATCTTGCTGACTCAACCTCCGTAACATTTCTAAAATTTACCAATTTTTAACAAACGAAACTACAAAGCTTCTACTTCACTCCCTTTTAATATCTCGCCCCGACTACTGTAACTCCCTCATTGTTGGCCTACCACTAAACAGGCTATCCCCCCTCATTCTATCATGAATGCTGCTGCTAGACTCATCCACCTTAACAAGCATTCAGTGTCTGCCGACCCTCTCTGCCAATCCCTCCACTGGCTCCCAATTGCCCAACGAATAAAATTCTAAATACTAACATACAAAGCCATCCACAACTCCGCCCCGACTACATCTTCAAACTCATCTCAAAATATCACCCAAACCATCCTCTCTGCTCCTCTCAAGACTTCCTGCTCTCTAGCTCTCTTATCCCCTCTCCCATGCTCACCTTCAGGACTTCTTCAGAGTGTCTCCCATCCTCTGCAACTCCTTACCCCAATATGTCCACTTATCTCCTACGCTGTCCACCTTTAGGCGACCCTTAAAAACTCATCTCTTCAGGGAAGCCTATCTCATCTCAACATAACTGCCCCTTTACTTCTTCCGCTAACTCAATCTAAACAATTATTACATTTTGTATCACTTGCCCCTCCTACTAGATTGTAAGCCTTTCCCAAGCAGGGCCCTCCCAACCCTACTGTACTGAAATTGTATTGTAACTGTACTGTCTCCCTCATTTTGTAAAGCGATGCGCAAAATGTTGGCGCTATATAAATCCTGTATAATAGTAATAATAATATCATCCAAAAAGCTGTTACTGGCACCATATTTTCAAAAAAAAAAAGAAACTTACATGATTTGGAAACCATACTGGCAACATTGGATCGGGGGAAGAGAATAATCCATAATCAGGATGAACCATCTTCTCACCCACAGAGAGAAAGACCTCTATAAGAGCAGCTCTGGGATCAGCTGAAGTCTCACCCTGGAATTCCACCTATAATATCAACATGGATTTAGTATCTTGTTGTTCATCTGCGCATTGATTATTTTATTAGACAATTGACAATGATGTAATCATTATTTCAGCAAACAACAAATCTAACGCAAACCTATTCAACGGATTACAAAATAAAATATAATAAAATACCATTAGTTGCTTTCTGAGATCACAGTCTTCCACGAGTCTTAGTTTATGCAGGGTATCTTCCAGCAAATGATCACGTCGCAATTTGAGATGTAAAATTGGTATCCTGGGATTTTCGCTGATGCCCTGCATTCTATTCATCACCAGCACTTGTTGAGCTTGAAGCTTAACACTCTGAGAAAAGAATACTGGTATATAAACTGGTTTGTTTTGGAGAGCTATAAAAGAATGATGATGGTGAGATAATATTTTTCAACAAAAACTAAAAATCTGGTGTACCGTAAAAGCAATCTGCATTTGAAGCTGTTTTGCAGGCACACTATCAGCAGTCTTTCTCCCACTCTCCCCCCTCAACTACTATTAATTAACAAAATAAAACATCTAAAAGCCTCTTTTATATACCTGAAGCTGCCAAGTTCCAAGTCTTCTATCTTTTTCCCTGCAGAGTGCCTGGATAACGTGGACACTCACCATTTGCAGTTCAGCGGCATGATTCTGTCAAACTCCAGAAGTTGCTTTAGTGTGATGATGTCAGGACTACTGAACCAGTGGGCACGGGTACAAATTGCAGCACAGGATCACCACCCCACATCAGAAGCCGTGCCGGTGAGGGAAACAGCAGATTCAGGTAACAAAAGTCAAAAAGCGGTTTAACCCGTTAGCTGCCAAGCCCTGTGGATTGCTTTTAATCTCCTGGCCACACAGTTTTTGCAATTTTTCATCTTTTTTATTTTCAACTGCAGCTTTTAGAGTTTGCAAAAGACCCCCCAAAACATATATTTTCGGAAAGCAAAGTCCCGGTAGGATAAAAAGATGGTGCTAGTAATTTTGTAGGTCCTGCGATAATTGCACAAATGTTTATTACATCAATATCAAACTGATAAAAATACACAATTAAATTGATAAAAGCACACTAAAATCAGTATCGGTGCACACAAAAAATACTTTTCCCAACTAAATTTAAAAGATAAAACTGTATTAAGTCAATAAATAACAAATATATTTGTCAATTGTAAATTGCGCATTTTTGCAAAAAAATGAAGGAATGCAACACTGTAAATAAGCAACTTATGTTAAAAATCTTTTTGCACTGTGCTGGTGTGTGTGTTGTGATAAAATAATGCAGGCATACATTTAATCGCAACACAGCGTATCACAACGCTTTGCCATGCGCTGCCACACAGTTGATTAGTTATTTTAAAAATAAAGGACTGCGATCTGTTTTAACAAAGCACCGCAGTGCATGTGCATGGTGCACACTGTTGCACATGTATAACATGTGTGTGTGGGGGGAGATGGGGGGTTTATTTTTTTACATTTGTTATTTATTTTCTATTATTTATTTATTTTTATTTACCCTTTTGAAATACCGTAGAAGAAATTGAGGACACAGAGTAATAAATATTTACTGACAACCAGTTATGAATGGATAGAAGCCTCTGTAGTGAGCTGATTCTACCCATTCAGAAACTCATGAATGATCAGGAAGTGATGTAAAACACTGTCTGTTCATTCAAAACTGGGGAGACATAGGGGGGAATTTATCAAAACTGGAGCAGAAGAATATGGAGCAGTTGCCTATGGCAACCAATCAGCTTTTCTCTTTAGTTTGTTCAGCTAAGGTTTGAAAATGAAAGGTGGGTGCTGATTGGTTGCCATGGACAACTGCGCCAGATTCTGTCTCCACCAGTTTTAATAAATTCCCCTAAAATTATGTCCTCAGTTGTTTACAAACATTGGAGTGATCAGCGATCAATTCAGTGTTTGTGCTGCACACAGAGGATCAGTAAGTATTACACATATTAACTGATCCTCCGCTCTCTTTATCCTGAGCCGCTCAGCCATCCTCGATCTGAAAGCCGGCGGCTCTGCTCTCCTCCCCTCTCAGACAACCTGAATGACAGTGCTGACTCCTCCTCCTCTACCCCCCCCCCCCAGTTAGGGTCGAAGGGGGGGGGGGGGTATTTTAATAAATAGCTCTCATCAGTGGCTTGTCAGCTGCTAATGACAACTATTCTTTTACAGGAGACCATCGGGGGGACCCTTCCGATATAGCAAAAGGGTGAAAGCCACTGACGTAAGGCCTACTGACGTGGCCAACTGCATAGGGTTGTGTTCTGCCGTAAGCCTTACAATCATCACTTATAACCATATTTATGCATGGTCACAATGCTCTAGGCCAGGGCTCACAATTTCCGCTCGCCCCCTCGCAATTAGCGAGTAAAAATTGTGTGGGAGTGCAAAAAATCATCGGGGTAGCGCAGCTGGCAGAACCAGGAGGGGGAAAACTACCACAGCTTCTGCAGTGGCGATCGCTCAATCAGTTCTCTCCGCTACATAGTGGCCGAGGAGGAAAATAATCAGATTGGCTGTCTTCCCTTCACTTCGGCTCCTACGGCCACCTGCAGCTTCCTCTGCCCACCTCATCTGCCATAGGCTGGGAGGAAGACTGCAGAGCTCCTATGGGCCGGCTGGAAATGTATGCAGCGCAGGACCTGAAGAGAGGCTTCACCTCAATACATGGAGGATTCATCTCTTTACCCCCCCACCTCCTCCCACTACCACCAGGAGAGGAAGACCACCTGAATCTACTGAATCTACTGACCTCTACAGTGTGCGTCATACTGCTGACCTCTGTACTGTGTCTTACATTACTGACCTCTGTACTGTGCATCATACCGCTGACCTCTGTACTGTACATTACATTACTGACCTCTGTATTATGCATTATACTGCTGACCTCTGTACTGTGCGTTACATTACTGACCTCTGTACCGCTGACCTCTGTACTGTGTTTTACATTACTGACCTCTGTACTGTGCATCATACCGCTGACCTCTGTACTATGCATCATACTGCTGACCTCTGTACTGTGCGTTACATTACTGACCTCTGTACCGCTGACCTCTGTACTGTGCAGTACATTCCTGACCTCTGTACTGTCGTTACACTGCTGACCTCTGTACAGTGCATCACACTGCTGACCTCTGTACTGTGCATCACACCAGTGACTTCTGTACTGTGCATCATACTGCTGACCTCTGTACAGTGCATCACACTGCTGACCTCTGTACTGTGCGTCACACCACTGACTTCTGTACTGCGTGTCACACTGCTGACCTCTGTACAGTGCATCACACTGCTGACCTCTGTACTGTGCGTCACACCACTGACCTCTGTACTTTGTACATTTCTGCAGCGCGGGACCTGAAGGGAGGCTCAACGAGGCTGCTGGAGGCTTCACTCGGTACATGGAGGCAACATGGCTGCACCCCCCACCACCACCAGGAGAGGAAGAGAGCACCTGAATTAGATCAACTGTGCACTGTCTGTTTTTTCTGCGTTATACCCCTGACCTCTGCATTCTGCGCTACATTACTGACCTCTGTACTGCTTACCTCTGTGTGTCACACCGCTGGACTCTGTACTTGGCATTACACCACTGACCTTTCTACTCTGCATTGTTACTGATCTCTGTACTGTTGACCTCTGTACTGTGTGTCACACCACTGGCCTCTGTCCTGCGTGTCACACCGCAGGTCTCTATACTGTGCGTCACACTGCTGACGCACAGTACAGTAGGGGTTAGATGGGGCAACTGGTGGCAAGTAACTCTTAAGGCCTAGTTAGTAGCTCAGGACTTGAAATTTTGAGCCCTGCTCTCGGCAACGTTGGGACAAGTAAAGCAAGAAAATGTTATGTCCAAAAGGGTCATCCTAACATGGGGTATTGTTTTAGGAACCAAAGCTTGTGTGCTTACAGACTTCAGTCAAAAGCATACAATCAAATCCTACGCTATATTGGTAGCAAATAAGTAAGGAAAACAATCAAAATTGTGAAATTGTGATAAGTTAAGCTGAGCCAAATCACCAAATGTATTGTTAACTTAGAATACTTACATTCTTTGTAATTTCTCCATCAAAGTGAAGATAATTAACCTTAGTGGGAAATGTTAAGATATATGGATAACGACAAAATATTTCAGGAACAGAGCTGCTTTCAGTGTCCTATAGATGAGATAGAAAGAACAAGACACTTAAAGATGACATTGTACCTTCAATATAACAGCTTATCAGGCAGAATTATTCCAGCAAATGTAGTTATCTAAAAAGGAGCTTATCTAAATACGTTGTATGTTTTCTATAGCTCAGCTATCCTTCAGAGACTGTTAACCTTACCTACTGTCTTGCACAGGCAACAATGTAACAATTCATGCTAATAAGAAAAGTCCACTTTTGTTAAATCTTACATTTTAGTGAAGTTGTCCTTTTACACCTCTAGGGTAAGCCAAATACTTATATACAGTACTTGCCCTCCACTCCTGAGATCTTCACTGTGTGGCCCTGCCCAAAACCACAGAGTTTTTGCAGAAAAAAGTCCTGCAATGTTGTATGTCGTAAATCTTAGTTATACAACCTTTTGTTAAAAACAATGACATTTTTATGTTTATAACATCATAGCTATTGCCTAGTTAAATGCAAAGTTCATAATCCCAGTCAGGACACTGTCAGCACGGAGTTTGTATGTTCTCCCTGTCAGAGGCGTAACTAGAAACCTCAGGGCCCCAGTGCAAGAAACCATTAAAGGCCCGCGTCTGCCTGATCCAGCCAGCCCGGATCGCCGCTATGCGATCCGGGCTGGCTGGCTGGATCAGGCAGACGCGCCCTCCAATCAGGCACTGTAGAGGGCCGCTCGCAGTGGCCTCGGAAGAGCGAGCGGCCGCCCGATGACAGCCGGGTGATCGTGTCAGAGAGAGGGAGCCATGGCTTCGGTTAGCGGGGGTCGTGACGGCGCCCCCCCTCAGTCCTGCGCCCGGGGCAAGTGCCCCCCCTGCCCCCCCCGGTTGTTACGCCACTGGAGAGCAGTGTGGGCGGAGACAGCCCGCGCTGTCACAGGAGGCTGAGCTCTCCTCCCACACCGCTCGCTCAGCCTTCTGTGACAGTGTGTCAGGATGGAGAGCGCGTACAAGCAGTCAGTGATCAGTGATCGCTGAGTGTTTGTAAATAATTGAGGACAGAGTATGGTTACTATATCCTCAATTATGAATGAATGGGAAGTGATCTACATCCCCTCCTGTTCATTCATGATTGTGGTTATAGTAAACACACTATGTCCTCATGTTATGAATGGACAGGAACACTCAGTATAGAGCCTTGGTTCTCAACTGGTGGGTCATGACCCAAAAGTGAGTCGCGACCCCGTGTTCAGTGGGTCGCCACATGCCTTCCACTTTTCTAGGTGAGAGGCTCCTCAGCCTCCCTCTAGCGTAGCAATGTCCGCTCTCGCACCAAGCAGCCAAAATATGCTGCCCGAGTGTCAGCTTGAGGTGGGGTGGGCTAGGGCTGTGTCGTTGAGCAGGCTCCTTCTAAAAGGTGCATTGCTTACAGCTCCCTCGCGTGTCCTGTAGATGTGCCTGGACCGGAGTAAAATTACATTCTGGCTCCTGGCACCTCTACAGGGTTTGCAAGGAAGCTGTACAAGTGGATACACATATGGATGGAGCTCTCGTAAGGTAGGAAGAAAGGTAGTAAGGTAGAAAAAAGAATATGTATTTTTTGGGGGAGTGTTTATGTGTGTGTGAGAATCCCTGTGAGTGTGTGAGATTGTGTCTGTTGTTGTGTGTGTCTGTCAGTGTTTTTGAGGGCCCTTTCACACTAGTAAAGTGCATTAATTACACAGTCCAATGCAATTAACGCACTGTATAACGCAATCTCACCTAACGCACGCTCTGGTTTGGGAGGTGCAGTGAATTGCCTTTCATGTAAATGACACCCCAAACGCATCTCCCACGCACAGTTCTATCCATCGTAATTGCAACGCGGGGTGCTGCAATGCCATGTGTTCCACTGTAAGTGCAACTTGGGTCACCACTTAATGACCAATGACAAATGTGGGTCCTGAGGTTACACAGGTTGAGAAGCACTGGTATAGAGGATTCCTGTTCATTGATAACAGGGGCTGCACAATAAGAGATAGAGGACTTTGTGTCCTCCATCTCTTTTTCTATTTTAAAAGGGAAATATCAGGGGTCTATTTAGATCCCTACTATCTCCCCGAAGCTCCCAAAAGTAAAGTAAAATAATAAAAAATAATAATTTTTTTGCTATCACACAAGAGCTAACAAGCCCCAAGTTTTTTTTTTTCTGGACAAAAAGAAAGACAATAGCAATTAGTTACGGATATAGGAACAAGACCAGACTTAACCTTCTAGAACATTTATACATGTATCCTGCATGGTTTGTCTCCCCAGTAATAGCCCGAGAGCTCTGGGAAGTTGTAGGAATATACAGGACGCCGTCCACACCAGCTCAAAGGTCGGGGACATGCATGTTCTCCAACGTTGTGGAAGGGGACTGTACGTCAATGCGTCAGAAGACGCTACGCTCCTATACGCCACCTGGACAGAGCCTGTGAGAGCAACCTCACAGGATATCCACGTTGGTAACAAGCCCCAAGTTTGATAGCATTTGGAGGTGACAGGTCCTCTTTATTGAATCTGTCACCTCCAATACAGGAGTTCTAGCACAGCACTGTGCTAGAACTCCTGTGACAGCTGAGAGGAAGGGCTGCGAGTGCAGCTCTCCCTCACTGTCTACTCGACCCGGCGTGAAAGGTAGCCGGGGCTGGTTTGGGGGACCCAACTTCCTGACGGGGACGGGAACTTACCTGCCGCTCCTCTGCTCAGAGAGGCGGTTCTATTTTCCGCGGGCGGCGTGCCATCCTCTTCTCGCTGGGCCCCCCTGAACTGGCGGAACATCAGGTCCCGGTCGCAAGTGCGACCGCTGCGACCCTGGTAGTTCCGCCAGTGCTCCCTGTGCTTTCAATGGGTTTCCTCCAGGTATTCCAGTTCCTACTAAACTCCAAATACATGCCGAAATGTTAACTGGCTCCTGTCTAAATCGACCCTGTAGACATGTGAGATAGGGTCCTTAGATTGTAAGTTCCCTGAGGGCAGGGGCTGATGTGAATGTGCAGTATGTAAAGTGCTCCATAAATTGTCTGCTCTATATAAATACCTGTAAATGAATGATAATGTAAACAAAATGATATATGTGGGAAGGAGTAAGATAAATCAGTAGTGATGATCTGGTATACCTTCCCTAAGGCTGGGTTCACGCCTAGACGGCACTGTTTTTGCGCGTTTGTACTTGCGTTAGCAGCATGTGGTTATTTGTGCGTTTTAACTCGCGTACATGAAGACACGCGTTTTGATTGGCAGCTCATAAACCATTGTGGGCAATGGAAGAGCGCGCGTATAAACGCGCAAAAACGCTCTAGTCTATGGGGCAAAAAAACTTTTAACTGCCCAAAGAAGCTCCTGTACCTTTTCGGGCGTTTTGCGTTTTTCTGCTGGTGTTTTTCTGCTCAGGTGTGAACCAGGGCCATTGAGAATCATGGGATTTCTTATGTTGGCAGTTTAAAGCGATTTTCGAACTGCTCGTAAACACCTAGGTGTGAACCAGGCCTTACACTGGCACTAAGAAGGACTGTCCTAGCTCATAATCTCCGCAGATGCAGGCCCAGTCACTAGGAGAGTGCTGGAACACAGCACTCATTTTAAAGCATAAGAGAATTCTATGCTCATCAGCTGGTGTCCTTGCACATTGTCTGGGGTGTCATTTCCTGTCTGCAGTCCACAGGTGCTATTTTTGGCAGAGTCAATACGTTCAGCACATTGGAAGACCAACCCATAGTGATGAGCTTCTGTTCGTTCTGAGATTGAGCTTGTCCAAACCCCAAAAGGAAGCTGTGCAGCTGTGGTGGGCCAGCACTGACAGCTTCTTCTTCCCAGGTTTGGACGAATTCATCCCTATTAACTTATGTCACTATCTGGTGTAACGAAGGATAATTAAAGCAACTAGACGTGAAAGCAAAATTATTAGGCTGATTTGCAGTGGTTGGGATGACTGAGAAAGTGGTCATATCTAATGTAGGGGCAGCTACTTTTGTGCATAAGATTGAACAATTAATGTGTAGATGAAGAGAAATTAATGTGAACAAGTATCTAAAAAAGTGCCATAAGTAGAATTTTTCAGTTATATCATAATTAGGCTCAATGAAACAAACAAATCAAAAAATGGCCATTGATGATGTTTCTTGAGAGTCTGTATCTGGATAAAGACAACACAGAGGTAATTAAAGTATATTTTAACCCAGAAACAAAAACATAACATTTTGCTGATTACACAGGCTCAGATGTGGTGTCTGCATTTCTTTTCTTTTTTTAGAACATTTTATAACAAGCAGGGACAAAAAGCAAAGAATGCATGGACCAGAATCATTTAGCCAACTGCATTTGGTTTTTAGGATAGCCATATCTCAAAAAGGAAAGCACAGAGGTAATTATTAACACTGTAATTAACACTGTTTTTTACTCACAGGCTGCTTTTGCCATATGCGCCAGTTGCTAAGATCGACTGGGATAATGATCACATCGGAAACCTCAGGAACACAGAAGTGGCTTTCTGGAACTTTATAATTAGTTTTAATGTTTACAAAGTGCCAAGTCTCAAGTACAGTAATCCATACACACATTCCTAATGTGGCAAAGCTTGCCAAACCTTCCTATCTCCTGTACCTTCCTCCTGGCCAGTCAGGCAGCCCATCATTGTGATGTGTGTGTGTGTAGTGGGGGTAGATAGAAGTGTCAGAGCTTTGCCTGTCAGAATGACAGAAAGACCTGTCACCTGTAGGTGCTTCAAAAGGAGCCAAGAAAAAGGCAGGAAGAGGACAAAGGAATAGTCACCTGTATTGCATCTGGTCTCGCTGCAGCTGATCTTTCTCAATTATTGTCCCAATAATGCCTTGTTCTGCACTGTGCCTCTATATAGAGGCAGCCGGCTTGATAAAGGCAAGGCTTTGCTTCCTCATGTCTGAGCCTCCAGCAAGGAGAAGAGTGAGGAGCACAGTAGTTATGTCGCCAATTCTCACTCAAAAGCTCCTGAGGACTAGCAGTCAGAGGCAACAGAACCTTAGCTCTCACACTGCATGCCAACTGTCAAGGATGCCACTAGGCTTATTGCAGCTAAAGTCTTTAAATGGCTGGTGTCATAGTTGATTACATGTGCAGCACCATTGCAACTGCAATCCAAATAGAGGATAAGTTGATACCTTCCTTGACTGTGAAGCATAAGAGGTTGTAGTCCCGCTTTAAACCACAATCAATCATCTTGAGGATCATCCCAGTGCTGAATTCTAAGCTGGACTTGTACTATTAGTGCCAAAGTGGATTACCATGGAACCTATATTTTAGAAAACTTACAGGAGCACACACAGATCACATACTGTATATTATTGTACATTTTGGCAGCTCCTCATATTTTAATTTAAAGGAAAAAGTGGTATACATGGGTGGTTGCAAGTCTATCCAATGCAACATTATTGCCTTACAGGTAAAAAAGTAATTTTGGAGGAACATAATTCTGGTATGCACCCTAAGCAGTACAGTGTACATTGAAGCCCCAATCAGTCTTTAGGAAGGCATGGATTTCTGACCAATAAAGTTGTACCTCAGGACATGTCCAAAAAATGTGAAAGAGCTTTGCAGAATTAGGGGCCAATGCAGGAACTTTGCATTTTTATCTAACACTATGGTGTGTAATAACATTAAATTGTATCTGCTTGTCTGCTGCACTCTTTAAAGAAAAAACTTTAAAGGAAACTTTTGTGTAGAAAAACATGTAGGTATCCATTGCTGACTTCTCTTTCTGACTATTATGCTGTTATAAAGTTTAGTTTTGAGTCACTGAGCTGGAAGATCAGGAGATATGACTTCACTCTGAATTTAGTATTTGCATATGTGTTTCAGCTCAGTGACTCAAGACAGAATCGTTATGACAGACAGGTAACTAGCATCTTCAGAAGGAGGTCAACGTTATGCAGGTCAGTACAGGTGCCTTTACATATTGCTCTTTCATCACAAAATTAGAGACAGAACATTAAGAGGCTAGATCAGTTTTTTCCAGCTATAGGTTTTCAGATTTTTTTTTCAGCGATGTGAATGTACCAATATAAAGTATGTCAACAGCATACACAGAGATGCGTGCTTCCCTAGTGAAGGTAGTACCTGAGTGCCATAGCTGATTATCACCTGAAAAGGTAGTAGTCAAAAAAACGTTGGGAACCTTCTTACCTTGTGCAGCTTCTTTAGGACATCTAACAAATCTCTAGTCCCCTCCTTTTTCATAAGCACCGATATTACCAAGGAAACTTTAAACATGTGAATTAGCTTTTTCAGTGAGTTTTCAGGTAACAGAGACCACATTGACTCTGGTGAATGAAAAGCATTTCATAATTATTAAAACATAAACTGATACACTAAACCATAAGTCATACAATTATTTAGGCAGACACATGGTGACCCCCAAAATGACAGCTATCATTTCACATAACACTTTTAAAAAACTGCATTCAGTGGCCTAGGGTCAGTGGGAGGGGGGGGAAACGAGAGAGAGTGAATTCCCTTTCTGCTTAACACCCACTCACTTGATTTTAAATCTAGAATGGACACAAGTATATAAATCTACCACTGACCACCAATGTAACAAGGGGGTATATACACTAACCAGCGATGTAAATTTGACATATCAACAGATCACAAATGTAATGGGGAGCATTTACACCGACCATCAATATAATAGGATAATTTACACTGACCATCAATGTAAGGCCCCATTCACACTGAGCGACATGAAAATCGCGCAATTTTGAGCGATATTGAGCGACTTGTCACGCGACTTTTTCCTATTGGGCTGTATGCAATCAGGAGCACAATCGCTCGAAAAAAGGGTCATGTAGGAGCGACAAGCTACCAGCGACGATCTACAAGCGATATTGAGCGACGGGATGTGAACAGCTCCATTGAAATGGATTGGAGAAGCTACATAGAGCGATATCGCGTGGAAATATGAGCGATATCGCTGCAAAAAAATCACACGATAAATCGCTCAGTGTGAATGGGGCCTTAAGGAGAAATTTAAACAGACCACTAATATAACAGGGGCTTTTACACTGACCACTAATATAATGGGGCATTTACTCTGACCACCTGTCAGGGTTTCTTAGCCTTCCTTGTCCAGCTTATTTGCAGTGTCTCGGACACTGTTTGTTCCTCTTTGGCACCCTCTTATGAACAAACCTGTTAACATCATCATTCAGCAACTACTAACAAAACTCCTGGCAAATTTCTGTCTCAGAATGATGATGCAAACACCACTTCACTATTTAACCATCAGCTTGTCTATTCAGTCTCCGCCCTTGCGTGGGTTCTGATCTACCAAGTGATCTGCAGTTGTTCCTGTTCTCCGTGTATGACCCTGGCTCTGGCTGATTAATCTCCTGGTTCCTGACTTCAGCTACTGTTTCCGTTCATCCTGCTCTCGGTGTTTTCTGACTTGGTCCGACTGACTACCTCTGGCATGGCACTGATGACGTTGTAGACTATCTCCATTGTTTTTTTGCCATTTATGTTTACTGTTGTTTTTATTAAACTCCTTTTATTTTTTATTAAACCTGCAGTTTTAATTTCTGTCTGGTTTCTTGGTTCCCTAAAACCACCAATTACATTGACCATCAATGTTAAAGGGAGAGTTAAACAGGCCACTAATATAACAGGGGCATTTACACTAATCACCAATATAATGTAGGCATTTACTCTGACCACCAAAGTAAACGAGGCATTTACATTGACAATGTAACAGGGGTATTTACAAAGACCACCAATATAAGAAGGGCATTTTTTTTCTCTGAACACCAATGTAAAGGGGCAGTTACACTGATCACCAATTGAATGGGAGCATTTACTCTAACCAGTAAAGAGGGACTTACAATGATCACCAATGAAACAAGGGCAAATACAAATGGCCACCAATGTAACAAGGGCATTTACAGTCTCTACCCCCCCCCCCCCCCTAAAAAGTTTTAACCCAATGTTTAGGGG